CTCACTGCAACTGGAGAGAGCCCGCGTGCAGCAACGAAGACCTAATGCAGCCATAAATAAATAAATTTATTTATTTGGGTTTTTATTTATCTATTTATTTTAAATGACTCATTTAAAAACGAGTCATCATTTTTTTTTTCAATCTTTTGGCCGCACCACGCGGCATGTGGGATCTTAGTTCCCTGACCAGGGCCCCCTGCAGTGGAAGCGTGGACTCTTAACCACTGGTGTCAATTTCACTTCTCTTGAAAGCAGTGGAAACTGATAATGTCATTAATACCAGGAAATTATCGTGTGCTCAAATCACATCACAGTCCCTCTTTGGTGCTTTGTAATAAATTTTTTAGACCTTTTATGTTGATTAACATTCTCTAGCATCAGATAGCCTAGGCTCAAATCTGTGTCAAGTTATGTGGCTTTGGAAATGTTATTAAGTCTCTTTGTGGCTCAGGCTCCTCATCTATAAAAAGAGAGTAGGGCTTCCCTGGTGGCGCAGTGGTTGAGAGTCCGCCTGCCGATGCAGGGGACACGGGTTCGTGCCCCGGTCCAGGAAGATCCCACATGCCGCGGAGCGGGTGGGCCCGTGAGCCATGGCCACTGAGCCTGCGCGTCCGGAGCCTGTGCTCCGCAACGGGAGAGGCCACAACAGTGAGAGGCCCGCGTACTGCAACAAAAAAAAAGGAGAGTAATAAAGTACCTCCTCATAGGAGCATAAGGACTAAATGAAATGAGAGAATACATTTAAAACACTTAGAACTTAGGTATATAGTAAACCACCCAAGGAAATTTGACTAATAATAGTAAATAAGATTGACTGCTGTCTCCAAGTTGGGGATACAAAATCACTACACAAAATGGTTGGATTCCTGTCATCCACTACATTAATCAGCAGTTCAAGAAGTAGAGGGAAGAGGTGAAGGGTCATCCGATCCATCTCCCTTTTCCCCATTCCTCTCAGCTCTCCACCATTGTTTCTTCACCTTACACTCATGCGAAGCCCTAAGCCTTTTGTCTATATTACAGCTAAGAGCTAAGATCTAAGAAGTTCTGTTCTGTTTTGGTTGTTTGGTGTTTTTTTTAATAATAAAAAAAGTAAGGCAGCCTTACTTTTAAGGCTAGGGGAGACAAGTTTTAAATGTAGCGTTTTACAAGTTACATAGTCTTTTCAAATAAACAGAAACCTCCTTCCTCCAAGCAGGATTACCTGTGCTTGCCTTTCTCTTGGCAAGATAGCTCTGGAATAAGAATAAGGACAGAGATTTTTCTAATATCATTCTCCTCATTATTCACCTGCTTCCATTGTGCCTACTCAGCTAACAATATCAAGAAGTCTAGGGACTTCCCTGGTGGTCCAGTGGTTATGACTCCTTGCTTCCACTGCAAGGGGCCCTGGTCAGGGAACTAAGATCCCGCATGCCGTGCAGTGCAGGCAAAAAAAAAAATTTTTTTAAGTCTAAGAAATGATCCTTACCTTCAGGATGTTTTATGCCAGAAGTTGGCATTTCTTTATTAAGGATCAAAGATTCATATTTTTATTTAAGATTTACGGAGCTGATTACATTATTACTGGTCCTTTATTTTTTCCCTTTAAAAACATCATTTTTTTTTTCAATCTTTTGGCCGCACCACGTGGCATGTGGGATCTTAGTTCCCAGAACGGGGCCCCCCTCCCGTGGCAGCGTGGACCCTTAACCACTGGACCACTAGGGAAGTCCCTAAAAACGTCATTTTAATTAAGGTCTCATGCTTTTTGTCCATTTCTTTGCGGTATGCGGGCCTCTAACTGTTGTGGCCTCTCCCGTTGCGGAGCACAGGCTTTGGACACGCAGGCGGCATGTGGGATCTTCCCAGACCGGGACACAAACCCGTGTCCCCTGCATCGGCAGGCGGACTCTCAACCACGGCGCCACCAGGGAAGCCCTAATTAAGGTCTCATGCTTTTAATGACCTCTCTTCCAGAGATTGAAGTGCCTAGTCAAAACCTCTATGTCCCATTTACTCTACAAAAGCCAAGGTGCTTGTTTTTAGGTAAACAACTGTTTGGATAACAGTTTTTGCCCAGTAAATATGCAGGCAGCAATTCAAAATCCTTATCTCTGATGGCTCACTTCTTCGTCGCTTAAGTGGAGTTACTTATAAAATAGTCAATTTAAGAATAAAGCTACTGACAGTTGTGTCTTATCCATGGTGATGGAGTTAGGGAGGTAACCCCACCATGAGTATCCCCAGTATCTTTTTTTTTTTGCGGTACGCGGGCCTCTCACTGTTGTGGCCTCTCCCGTTGCGGAGCACAGGCTTTCGGACGCGCAGGCTCAGCGGCCATGGCTCACGGGCCCAGCCGCTCCGCGGCATGTGGGATCTTCCCGGACCGGGACACGAACCCGTGTCCCCTGCATCGGCAGGCGGTCTCTCAACCACTGCGCCACCAGGGAAGCTCCCCCCACCAGTATCTTATCTCCACCAAAGAAGGACATTGAGTTATCTGAGTTATTTTTGTGGTTTGTGTGTGCGGTAATGTCAAGCTCACTGAGGAGACAGTGCTGTGAAAATGAGAAAAGGAACCCATAAGTTGTTAGTCTGAGATTTCTCACTTTCGAGTTGGTCTTCAGAAATAGTCTCAGTTCATAGAACCCAAGTCAGGTGCCACAAGGTTCACCTGGTAGAGAGAAGTAAAGCTTGAAGCACAGGACAGGGAAGGAGTATGGCTTATGGGAAGAGGGATGAGTAGCAAGACAAAGGGAGACAAAGTAAGGGAAGGTAGGGGCAGGATGATAAGATGAGGCAGTGCAGCGGTGCAGGTTAATGAGAGAGAAAACCAGAGATTTATGTAACATCTCCAGGAGCAAATAGGCAGGGAAGGTTCTCCAGCCCACATGCATCTGTTCTGGAATCTGAAAATTACTTTGGAGGGTTTTGATTTTTAGGAGTCCCTCTGCCTGATATTCCACAAAGCTCCAGCTCCTGCCTGATATAGCACATAGGACCCTAGTACCTTGCATACAGGACATACTCAAATATTTGCTGACTAAAGGAAGATGGGGCAAGTCATGAATTACTTTTTTCCCCATAAACCAGAATCTATTTAAACTAAAAGTCCAAACCACTCCTATCTACCTGGCAAGCAAGCCCTCAAAAGATCAAACAGGGTAGTGTTCTTACCAGTACGATGGGACATTTTGCTTCCTTACTTATGAAGATACCCTGGATTTTCTCATTCTTTTTAAATCACTTTTTAAATAGAGAGGGTGGGAAATAGAGATGGTGGAAAGGGGAGTGTGTGTGTGTGTGTGTGTGTGTGTGTGTGTATGAAACCTAAACAGAGTGGAGTCAGAAAACCTGGATTCTAATCTATTTAGCCAGTAACTTGCTGTGTAAACTTGGGCAAGTCCGTTGATTTGCCATGCCCTGTTTCCTCATTTTCCAAGTGGGAGTAATGTTTATTCTATTGATATATACCTCACAAGGTGGCACTAAAGAGTTAAAGAAATGATATATGAGAGCATTTTGAAAGGATACATTTCTATATGAGTCTAAAATACAGGAATTAATTAGTATGGTAAATGAAAAGAGGTTAAGAGGAATATTATTGGATTAGGGGAAAAGGGGGCCTCGGAAAAGAGAGAAGCCCCCTCCTTTATTTGACAGATACCAGAAAAAGCCAAGACCACTCCACTCCTTAATTTGGCCAACATTTTCTTTTATCTTGAGACATCTCTGAAAAAAGGGGTTCTTTCTTTTTCCTGCTTCTCTGTGCCAGGGATTTGTATTCATTTTGAAGTTACTGGCTGCCTACCATATGCCAGGCAATGTGTTCGTTAGCTCATTATTATTTAGTAATTAGCCCTAGAGGGCAATACTGTATTTTTAAAGGACTTTCATGGGTTATCTCATATATTGCCCTATCTTTCCTTGTTGATGGAATTGGCAGTCACTACTTAATATGTAGAGGAACTGAGGCCCAAAGAAATTCAGTGACTTGACCAAAGACCACGGGGCAGTGATGAAACTAGTACCCAAACCTAGGTTTCCTGACTTTCCTCTTCCTGTTAAATGGGTACTGGGAGAAAAATGAAGTTACCAAGATGCTGGTGTGTGGGCTCTGAGGCAGATCTGGCTTAGGGGTGATCAGCAGAGCCTTCCCCAGCTAGGGCATCCTCTGGGCATTGCGGTAGACAGGATGGAATTTTTACGTGTCAGTGGATCAGGGAGAGATACCAGGTAGTAGGAAGTTTAAGCCTCACCTGGAGCTTGTCTGTAAAGCCACTTGGTCTAACAGACCAGGGCTCTGGAGACAAGACAGTTCTATTCCTGCCAGCACTTACAGTGTGTCTGCAAATCCCTCAGCCATTCTGAATCTCACTTTTCTCTCTGTGCAATGGAGATCATAATATGTACCTCGTACTCAGGGTTATTCTCCTGAGGCTCAAATAAGGCCTGAGGCTTTGTAAACTGGAAGAAATGTGTATTAATATTAACTTCTCTTCCACGGAGTCGCCCTACACATCGGTACCCTCCATAAAACTTTTCCCCAACGGTTGACCTGCCCAGACCACTATCTGTACCACCTAGGGAGTGTGAATTCCAGTTGCCAGTCCTGGGTAACGCGCCCTCCCAGCTCACGTTCTTGTTTTTGTTTTGGCTTTGAGGGGGAGAGGATCCCGATCTAGGTTATCGCCGGTCTTCATAAACCTCCCTGTCTCTCTATCATCCGCTCCATCCGCCCCTGCCGTCTCTCTCGGCAGGTCGGCCCGGGCTGTCTTTTCTGGCTCCACCTCTCGCTCCGGCGGTCTGTGGGAGTCTCGGACTCCCTGCCCCTCCAGACGCCGTTCTCCGGCGGGGTTTAGGTCTGTCTTCTTCACCCTCAGTGAGTCAGAAACAAAGGAGGGGGGTGGAGGGAGCGCACTCTCTCCGGCTCGGCGATTCGCCCTTTATTCTGAACTCGCAACGTCAGCGGGCGGGTGGATGGAGCTGCGGGGCGCGGGCTGGGCCGCCCACAGCGCGCCGGGCCGGGGGAGCGGCCGGGCCGGGCCGGGCGGGCGGGCGGCGGGGGAGCTTTCGGGGGCCCGGGCCGCGTGGGCGCCGGGATGGAGGGCGCCGAGGGGCGGGGAGCGGGCGTGCGTGTGTGTGCGAGCGCGAGGGAGGCCGGCCTTTAGTGTAACCGGAGCTACAAAGAAGGGGAGAGGGAGGGAGGGAGGAGAGGCGGCGGCGGCGCCGGGGGCCTCTCCGCACCCTCCCCCTGGGCAGAAGCCCCCTCGAAGCGGCCTCGGCCCCCGACGCGGGGCCGCCCCTCGGCGCCCGCGTCCGCCCGCCCGCCCGGAATGATGAAGAAGAACAATTCCACCAAGCGGGTGAGTGCGCCCGCCCGCCCCGTGCCCGCCGCTGACTTTGTGCCCCGAGGACCCCAGCCCCGTCGGGGCCGCGGGCGGCCGGGTTGGGGGCCGGGGACGCCCCGCGCCAGCCCCCTCCTTCCGGCCCGTGGCCCGATCGCCGGTCCCCTTAGCCTCGGCCTCGGCGCGCTGGGCCCCACGACGAGGCACCGGCGGGGGCTTTTGTTTGTTTACTTGGGCTGGGGGTTAACTTGGCTGAGTTTCTGCCCGACCCCCGGCCTCCCCTTCCTCGGGCGGCTGCCGGCCGCCGGCATCGCGCTCTGCAGCGGCGAGAAGACAATGAGAAATAAAATAAAATGCCGTTAATCCCGGCGCGGCGAGGAGGGAGGCTGGGGGAGGGGGCGGGGGGCTCGGCGGAGACCCGAAGGCCGCCCCTCGGCTCCAGCCCGGCCCTAACCCCTTCCACTGGCAGTTCCAGTTGTTTATTTGGGAGAAGGGGGAGGGGAGCGATGGGGAAGCGAGTTCCTTGGAGTGAAAGGCTTTGAAGAAGTGGGGAGCGAACGCGGGTCTCCCAGACTCCAGCTGCGGCGGGGCGGACGCGGGAAGGAGGGGACCGGGGACTGAGGAGGGCGCTGGGGACGGAACGGGAGGAGGAAAAGCTGTAATCACCTAATCGTGTGGTTCTCATCTGGCTCGGGGGGCAGGGGCCTCAGGATGGAAATCATCAATCTGCACCGCCTGAGAAGGTCGGCTGGGTCCGGAAATTCTGCGGGAAAGGGATTTTCAGGGAGATTTGGAAAAACCGCTACGTGGTGCTGAAAGGGGACCAGCTCTACATCTCCGAAAAAGAGGTAGGTGCCCTTTGCCGCTAACTATCCCTGTTTTCTCATAGTCCCCACTTTGTCTCTCCGCAGGGGTCTTATCTACTTCTCATCTCCCCCTTACCTCATTCCTCATTTTGTTCCAAAAGCTACTTCAGCGGTCTGGTTGGTCTCTACCCCCATCTTATCTGCAGAGAAAGGTCACCCTTTAATGAGGAGACTGGAGTTAGAATTAGAAGTTGAGTTTGCATCTTATTTAAAAATTTTTCTTTGGAAATACCTTTCTGACAACCATGATAACTCCCTCCCAAGAATGTCCCAAAAGTTTTAAGCGTCCCCTGCTGGCCCCCACCCTATCCTGGCCTCTAGCTGACCGTAGGATTATTTTTTCTTTGCTGTTGCTGCTGAAACACTGTTCAGCTTATTCTCTACTCCTTCCTGCCCTCCCCACCCCAACCCAGCTAGCCTCCCCTTTCCTGTCTCTCACAGGGACATATACAAGTCATATCAGTAGTGCAGCTGCCCTGAATCACAGAAAACACACATACAACCCAGGGTCAGTCTCGCATGACCTCAGGGAGAGTATTTGTAAGTGGCAGTGATTTCTGTTGAAGCCAGTGTCCCTAACCAACATGTTCTCTGTTCCCCATCCCCACTCCACTGAAAAAAAATGAATCAGGGAACTCATTCTCCATTCCTTCCTGCCCAGCTGCCCCCCACCAGTTATAGCAGAAGGGAGAATGGAGTTATGAATCCCTGTGTGTCTGTGTCTTTGGGGCTATAGTTAAAATGAAAACCACAGTCCACATTGGGTCAGAACCTGAGCCCACATATTGAATCCAGATTACTCTCTCTGTTATCTCTAATTCATGGGATAAATGACACATAGTAATATTGAGAAACTGAAATTGCCCCTCCGTAGGTTAGAAGTCATTCCAGTCCCTACCTCTGCGACTGTGTCAGCATCGCCTAGGAGACTGTCCTGAGTTCCCCTGGTAGGATGACCCTCCACCCGCCCCCTCACCCAGGGCTAACGGCGAAGTCCTCCCTGAGTTCTAACCTCTTCTGCTTTCTGCATAGACTATATTTAGGTAAATAAATCCTTTTATGGTATTGAAATAGACACATGCGCAGTCCTAGAGAAAGTATTCATCTGAACAGGACATCTACTGAGGCAGCTAAGAAAGAACTAAGCTGTGCCAGGGCCAAAGAGATCCCTCATAAGGGTATTTAAACCTTGCTGTTTATACTGAGAACTTGGTGATGGAGTGAGGTGAGAAAACACTTTGACAGGAGAATTTATTTTTAATGGTCACCTCTACCCAACCCCAAATCCTACCCAAGGTTTTTCCACAATGTGTGGGCTTTCCAGGGGGGGCTTTTTTGGCTTTTTTTTTTCTTAGGCAAGTGTCAAAGTGTATCTCCTGTCTTCCCTAAACTCCATAATGGCAGAAAACTCTAGTAGCAATCAGGGAGAACTTCCCACACGTCAGTGGGGAAAACATGTGATCAGGGAAAGGGTGGAAGGAACAAGACATCTTTTTCTTGTTTGTATTTGTTCAAAGAACAGAGTCAGGGGGCAAAAGAGCGTAGTTGACCCTTGTTTGTGGAGGAAGGGGTACTGAGACAGGGGAAAGGATGGAATGACCACAGCTTAGGATGTCTGGTATCCTGTGAGTCAGGAGCATCTGACCGATCATGGGGCCAACTGCCCACTGCTGAGAAAGGCATAGGAAAATAGGGAACAAGCCTATTGGTAGTACTCTTCTTTGGGGCCAGTTTCCACGCTACAAAGGCCTAGGTTAAAGGTGAAACTGATCCAGGACTATAGGCTTTATTCTGTCCACTTCCCAAAAGCTCCAGAGCCAACAGAGTCAAGATTTTTTTTTAATACAGTATGATGTTTGTAATTTACATGGGCTTTTTAAATTTTACTTATTTATTTATTTTGGCTGCACTGGGTCTTGGTTGCGGCACGCAGGATCTTTGTTGCGTCCTGTGGGATCTTTAGTTGTGGCATGCGGACTCTTAGTTGCAGCATGCACATGGGATCTAGTTCCCTGACCAGGCATTGAACCCCAGCGCCTGCATTGGGAAGCTAGGAGTCTTACCCTCTGGACCACCAGGGAAGTCCCAGTAATTTATATGTTAATGCAGGAAATCCCTAACCCTCTCCCCTAGAATTTGTGCCAGTATTTTTTTGCAACTGCCCCCACCAAAGAAATCCTTCTGTATTTGTTGTTAATAATCGTTTTCTTCATTCTTAGTCAAAGGGCACCTTATGATCATGGAGCTGATGTATAGGAACAGAAACTAGACCTTAGGGAGACTTCATGGTAGAGGAAATTGAGTTCAAGGCATCTTTTTTTGGCAAGCATGGGAAAAATTCCTTTCTGTGGGCTAAGGAGAAAGAATCAGGGGAAAGGGTTGACTTTTGTGGGTGGTAATTATAAATGAGACTGTGGGAATTAGATGGGCAAAAACAATACAGTGGAGAACTAGGGTCTTGGAGTTGTCCATCTTCCCCGGGCACTGGAGTATGTTTGTTTCACTGCTTTACCCCATCTGCTACCCCTGCCTTATGAGGGGCTAACCTCTGTCAATGTCTTCTGCTCCCCAGAGCTCCTTATCAGTCGTGTCCAAGCCAGAATATCTCCCTTTCCCTTCCCTTCCCCTCTGTTCCCCTCCCCTTCCGTTCCCCTCTCCTCCCCTCCCCTAAGGAAAACAGAACAAGTAACTCTTTTCCCCTGGCTACATACACACACCCAGCACTTTCCTCTCCAAGATTTCTGGCCTCTGCTGATAGTCTCAGCTCTGAGGAAGGAGGGGAAGAGGAGTGATGCATCACCCAGCATCCCTGCTTCCATGTTTCTGGGAATTGTTCTGGGACACCCCTTGCCAACATCTTGTCCACTTTCACCTACAAGCCTTCAAGGCTTCTGGTCACTTCCTAGTCCAAAACCCGGGAGCCCAGGATAGGGGAGAGCCCTGGAGGAGAAAGGTGGGTGTATGAGCAGCCATTCACCTGAATGAGTCTGTGTCAGCCCCCTGGGTCCAGCGCCAAGTCAGAAGGATAGGCAGATGCAAGAGCAGAGATCGGCTGGGGGATGGAAGAGAGAACCAGGCGGATAAATGAAGTCACCTCCAGGCACACAATTGCTATGGCAGAGCTTGAGACGTGGGGACTCTTTTGTGAAATACTTCCAGTCAGAGAGGGTAGATGTCTTCCAAGGATCATATGAGGCTACTTTTGACTGTTCAGTTTTAACAAGACAAGTGCTAGTGGTTTTCATCTCTCATCCCAGGAAAACCTAACGGCTCATTCCACAGGGTCTTCCAATCCCAGGCGCAAGTAGCAGAGGGTGAAAGGGTTTTCTAATCACAGGCTGCTCCGTCCAGGCCAGTGATGAAGACTTCTTTCCTCTTGCAAGCCAAATCACAGCTTCAGAAGATTAGGGCTATGGGAATACCTTAGGGGAGAGGAGAAAAAACCCTGAGAAGTTTAAAACGGACCTTGGCAGAAATGTTAGTAGAATTTGCTTTGTGGCACTCATAAAAGGCTGGTTGGGGTTGGAGGATGTAGACGGAACTGTGGTCTCTGATTAGACATTCAACAAGAGAGTTAAGAGCCAAATGATGGATAGAAATGCTGAGAGTGGAACCGGGTGCAAGATGGAGTCTACAAGCAGGAAGGGCTCAGTTTAGACACAAGGAAGAACTTCCTGGCAGTAAGGGCTCAAACTGGAATCATGGAAACAGGTAGCAGAACACTTTTTTCCAAGTAGTCCTCCAGGGAGAGTATAAATGCATCTTTGCCTAGAGAGCAGTGGATGATTAAGTGGCTTCTCAAGCCCACAGGAGCTAGGTTGGGTTGTCACGGTACCTTGGAAGGAAGAAGGAGGGGTAGGAACTACAGGTGTGTTTTTCACCCTGTCTGAACAAACTCAACAAACTGAACACAGGGGCTGCTGTTCCTATGGTGCTGAAGCTTCTGAAAAGAAGGAGGTAGATCAGTCTCTTCATAATAGTATATATTTAAGGAAGGAGCCAGGGGATAATGGGATGGATAAGAAGGCAACAGCATAAACATAGGACAGGGGAGGGCGGAGGCAGCCCTTCGTTCCCTCCAGACATCCCCTGATATTGACCCTGCCTTTACCTCCTCCCTCTGGACAATCAAGGGCCATCCGGGTCTTGCTTACTTCAGGATGATAGGATTAAACTGTTAGCCCTGTAACCATGTCCTTTGAAGGACAAAGTGGGAGTCACAGTGAAGAGAGACCTACTGGGGCTCTGGAAATGGTAGCTTGGCTGAGGGGAGTGGGGACAAGGGGTTTAAATGGAAACCCATGTGAGGAATCAGGACATGGGGGGCTGCCCCCCACTGTCAGGCCTCTGTGGGCCTTGGGTAGGACAGCCTTTCCATAACCTGTCATCCCTCCCCTCTCAGGCTTCTTCTGGTTCCCAAGACTGGTCAGTAACTAACAATTTGGGAGAAGCGACTAAGTAATTTTATCCTCAGCACCTCACCTCCAACCCTCCCCTAGGTAAAAGATGAGAAAAATGTTCAAGAGGTGTTTGACCTGAGTGACTATGAGAAGTGTGAAGAGCTCCGGAAATCCAAGAGCAGGAGCAAGAAGAATCATAGCAAGTTCACTCTTGCCCACTCCAAACAGCCTGGGAACACGGTACGCTCCGCCTGCCGCCTGGGCCACCGGAACATCGACCAGGTCAGGGGTGTGGGGAGCAGAGGAGAGCATCTGCCCCTTCAGGATCTCTCTCTCAGCTCTCTTGGCTCAGAGGCCCTGAACTATTGCTCTCCTGCCAGCTTTTATTATTTAACCTGAGAATATCATGGCCATTTCCTTCCTTCCAGGCAAGCCAGCCTTTAAACTGTCCAGCCACAAAGATCATATCTCTCTCCCTCTCTCTGTCTCTCTCTGCCTAACACACACACAAATACACAAACACACCCCTCTTGGGAGACAGCCACTTTTCCCTGTACTGTGATAGGCGGTTGAAATTCTGAATCCAATTTCTCTTGTCTGAGGAAACCCAGGGAAGCCATTCCTGTCACATTCTATTTCTTCAAACATTTAAAGATCTTTATTTTAGTACCTGTCCTTTCCCAAACCTCCTCTAATTATCTCCAGTGCCGTATTAATATCTGGTACCCTTCTAAGCTCCTCATTGGTCATTTCTAAAACAGCCTCCAAGCAATGGCATTTTGCAGGAATAGAGGCTGATTTCCTTAAGTTACGGATGACTCCAGAAGTAGAATCTCTCTCCTTCCAAGAGCTGGGTCTAAGAGAATGAGATTATAATTTCTTACTTCTTCACTGTCAAGGTGAGGCCAAATGTAAAACCCTGACTGAAACAAGAATCTTCTCCTCACAGGCACCCAACTTGATCTTCCTGGCAGTGAGTCCGGAAGAGAAGGAATCATGGATCAACGCCCTCAACTCCGCCGTCACCCGCGCCAAGAACCGCATCTTGGATGAGGTCAGGAGGTTTATTGTGGGGAAGGGGATGCTGAGGCAGAGGGAGCAGAATGACTCACTGAAGAGGGAAGAGGATGCTGTGGGCCCCATTTACTAGCTCCCCGCCAGCTCTGCTTCTTTATTTCCCTTTTGAAACCCTATTCTCCTTCTAACTTCTAAGTCTTTTCTGCCACCTCCTCTTTCCCCACTTTCTGATGCATGGGCCAGCCCTGGGCCAGCTTAAGGAGCCCCTTCATGTCCAATACATCCCTTGCCCTTGGATTTGCTCAGAAACGGTTCATGAGGTGGGATTATTTCCCAGTCCAGGCATGTTCAGGCCTCAGGGGAAGCTGGGTTGGGACAGAGTCTCCAAATAGCACCCATGACTCACAGTGCATCTCTTCAGGTCACCGTTGAGGAGGACAGCTATCTCGCACACCCAACTCGAGACAGGGCAAAAATCCAGCACTCGCGCCGCCCCCCAACTCGGGGACACCTAATGGCTGTGGTATGTAAGACCATAAGAAAGTAAAAATTGGGCTTCCCTGTTGGCACAGTGGTTGAGAGTCCACCTGCCGATGCAGGGGACACGGGTTCATGCCCCGGTCCGGGAGGATCCCACATGCCGCGGAGCGGCTGGGCCCGTGAGCCATGGCCGCTGAGCCTGCGCGTCCGGAGCCTGTGCTCTGCAACGGGAGAGGCCACAGCAGTGAGAGGCCCGTGTACCGCAAAAAAAAAAAAAAGAAAGAAAGAAAGTAAACATTGCTGAAGGGCCAACTCCATGTCAGTTCATCTCAGACAGGACTGTATCTCAGACAGCCCACCAGAGGCATTTGTGTACCAAGGTCAAAGGCTAGGGAAGTCCCTCCACCCTGTTCCCTTTCTTGATTCCTCCAAACCAAAAATATTTAGTCAGCACCTACTGTGAATTTGAAAGTCCTGCCCTCAATAAATGTATCATCCTTTGGGGAAAATGAGATATACCCACAAGGGAAGTGAAAAGTAGAAGAGATGAATACAGTACAAGGCAACATAAGCTACTGTCTGGTGGCTAGCTATCCTAACGGATAACAGCATTATGTATCACAGGCACTTAGAGGAGCAAGGATTTTCTTTCATTTGTCTGAGCGCTAAGTGTCTAGGGAAAGAGGCACTCAGGTATAGTAGAAAGAGCATGGGGGCCTCCCTGGTGGCGCAGTGGTTAAGAATCCGCCAGCCGATGCAGAAGACATGGGTCCGAGCCCTGGTCTGGGAAGATCCCACATGCTGCGGAGCAGCTAAGCCCATGCGCCACAACTACTGAGCCTGCGCTCTAGAGCCCGCGAGCCACAACTACTGAGCCGCATGCCACAACTACTGAAGCCCGTGCACCTAGAGCCCATGCTTCCAACAAGAGAAGCCACCACAGTAGAAACCTGTGCACCACAACGAAGAGTAGGCTCCGCTCGCCGCAACTAGAGAAAGCCCGCACACAGCAACAAAGACCCAACACAGCCAAAAAAAAAATAAATAAAATAAATTAATTTTAAAAAAAAAGAAAGAAAGAACATGGGCTTTGGAATCAGACAGAACTGGATTGGAACCTAGCTTTGCAGCGTACTCTGAAGCTGCCCGCCTCCAACTGTAAAGTGGGGCAGTAATCATGCCCACTTGCACGGTTGCTGTGAGGAATGATTGAAACAACATATGTATCAATACATATAAGGTGCTGAATACCATTATCACTTTTTTTTTAATTACAGTATTCTGGAAATAGAACAAGTTTTATTTTAAGGCAAGAAGTTCTGAGGTCCAAATAGCAGAGGGGGTTGAGGTGTGTGGCTCAGAGGATACAGATGGAAAAGGACAGTTACCCTGCCATGCCAGGCATCCTGTATGTGTCAAACCCAACTGATGCTTAGAGTCCACAATACAGAGGAAAAAGACACTCTTCAGGAAGCTCGTAGTAAAGTGGAAAATATGGGAAACAAGCAGGAGAAATTATTTTTTTAATAAATTGGTATTTTTTTTAAATATTTATTTATTTGCTAACTTACTTTGGCTGTGCCGGGTCTTAGTTACGGCATGCAGGGTCTTTAGTTGCGGCATGCTGCCTCTTAGTTGCGGCATGCTGCCTCTTAGTTGCAGCATGCATGCAGGATCTAGTTCCCTGACCAGGGATCGAACCCAGACCCCCTGCATTGGGAGCGCGGAATCTTACCCACTGGACCACCACGGAAGTCCCCCAGGAGAAATTACTTTAAATCACAGAAAAATAAAAGAAAGAGAGAAGTTTAAGTCACTATCAAAGGAATAAGAAATAGGAAACAAAGTCAGAGGGCTGTGTCAGGAGTGGGGGCTTCTCATTCAGGGAAGGCACGTTGAGGAGGGAAATGACCACAGCTTGCTTCTCTTTCAGGCAGTCAGTCCTGAAATGCTCACTGACAACAATCTACCCCCTTCATTCCCTCCTTCTCCCTCTGCAGGCTTCAACCTCTACCTCGGATGGCATGCTGACCTTGGACCTGATCCAGGAGGAAGACCCTTCCCCTGAGGAACCAACCTCCTGTGCTGAGAGCTTTCGAGTCGACCTGGACAAGTCTGTGGCCCAGCTGGCAGGCAGCCGGCGGAGAGCAGACTCAGACCGCATCCAGCCCTCCTCGGACCGGGCAAGCGGCCTTCCCCGACTTTGGGAAAAGCCAGACAGAGGGGCCACCTACACCCCCCAGGCACCCAAGAAGTTGAGCCCCGCAGAAAAAGGCCGCTGTGCCTCCCTGGAGGAGATCCTGTCTCAGCGGGACACTGCCGCAGCCCGCACCCTCCAACTGCAGGCCCAGGACCCCCCGACCCCCATCCCACCCCACCCGGGGCAGCTGTCCCGGATCCAGGACCTGGTAGCAAGGAAACTGGAGAAGACTCAGGAGCTGCTGGCAGAGGTTCAGGGACTGGGAGACGGGAAGCGAAAGGCCAAGGACCCCCCTCGGTCTCCTCCCGATTCTGAGTCAGAACAGCTGCTGCTGGAGACAGAGCGGCTGCTGGGAGAGGCGTCATCAAATTGGAGCCAGGCGAAGAGGGTGCTCCAGGAAGTCAGGGAGCTGAGGGACCTGTACAGACAGATGGACCTGCAGACCCCCGACTCCCACCTCAGACAGCCCAGCCAGCATAGCCAGTACCGGAAGAGCCTGATGTAGAGGAAGGTGACAGAGTCTGGAACGTGTGGGGTGGACAGACTCTTATCTCCAAGTGTTGCAGGATACAGCTTTTTTATTTACCTCAGTCAAAAAAGAAAACAAAAACACGATCAAATTCGTTGCTCTTGCTGCTGCCCGACCCTCCTACAGCCCTTATTTCCCAAACTCCTTTCCCCCCATCTATCTCTCTGAGACCTAAATTGCCTCAGATCTGGGGAGGAGGTGACCCCTACAGCAGTATTAAGAAACTTTCACCTGGATGAAGAGAGAGAGGGTGACGAAGGCACAGTCTGACCGTGTTACACGCACCACCCCTCTGAGGTGTGGTGAGGAATATCCTGCTGCTCCCAAAGATGTATCTGGGCTCCTAAGTTTAGAGGGGGAGGTGTGGGGCGTCTCTTGTGTCCCATTCCAAGTTTTCAATCTGAGGGTGAAATTTCAGCCACTCAGCCCTAGCTCAAGAGATGTGGGAGCCAGTGCCACCTGTCCACGCACACAGAAGTGAAATTTATCCCAGCCCCGAGGAGGGTTTGTGCGATTAAAACACCCCCAGGCCCGCCGCCGGGCACTGGCTTCTTAAGCCTAGCAGCCTCTGATTGCAATCACGCTGCCTGGCTTTCTTGTATGAGGTGTTTCTTCGCTTTCTCTCTCACACCCTTCCCAACACTGATTCAGAGATACAGCCCTGGACGGATGGGATGGATCTGGTCATTTGGCTAGGGGCGCCTAGCACAGGGGAACAGGGGACAGTCAACCCCACAGAAGAACCAAACTAAAACGGAATCTGATTTGTGATGCAAGCTGGGTAGTATGAAGGGGAAAGCCAAATATATGCCCAGGTTCCTCTTTCGGCCAAGCTAGGGTTTCCTGTAGCCTCTCCCTCTCCTTCTTCGAACCTTACTTCCAACACTAATCAAGCCCCAGCTTTAGAAAAACATCTTTATGCTCACACCACCACCCTCCTGACCACCTCTGCAGCTGCCAGACTCCCCGACATTCTTGTCTGTGGTAGAGACTACACAGCTCATTTTGATTGCTTCTTCCCTCTGAAGTTTCTAAGATCAGGTTTAATAACAGTGATAGTGTCCAGAGAAGAAGAAGGCGACATATGAATGATTTTTGGAAAGAAGGGGACAGTCCCGTGAATCAAGTAATGAAGGGTTAAAAAAAACACTTTGAAGTACAGTTGACCCTTGAAAAGTGCGAGGGTTAATCCACCTGTAAATTAACAGTCAGCCCTCCATATCCATGGTTCCTCTGCACCTGAGGGCTCAACCAACCGCAGGCTGTGTAGTACTGTAGGGTTTATTGAAAAATATCTGCATGTAAGTGGATCTGTGCAGTTCAAACTTACGTTGTTCAAGGGTCAACTGTAGACCCCTTGCTTCCTGATCCCCTTCCCTAGGTCCCCTCTCGCCTCCAAGAGCCAAAACCTAGAGTTCACCTAAGGGTGAGAGGGGAGAAGAGGAGAAAATGGGGACAAACTGTGTGTACGTCCTGGCCACGAAGCTGCCCTCGTGTGACATTCAGGAAAGTGGGGTAGGAGGGAAACAAGGAAAATCCTTTGGGCAAAACACAGACCCTCAATTGCCACTCTTCTGCTCTGACATTACTCCATAACCCCCGTAAGCAAGATGGGGGAATCTGTCCAAGTTGAACACCTGTAGGGAAGAGAGATTCTCATGCTCTTTCGGTCCCCACCATTCACAGTCATGAAGATTTCCCCCAGATTTATCCTGTAGTTAACTAAATCACACGTACCCTTGAGTGAGCAGAGCACACCAGAGTGCCACCTACATGTCATTCCCAGAGTCTCCTGGGGTAGGAGGGGAGGGAGCCTGGGTCTCCAGACTTCCTATCCTCCAAACAAGTTTTGCTCACCTAAACTCTAAGCATGGTCAGCAGAGCTACCCGTTGTCACAAATATTGAAAGTCTAGGTTAAAATATTTACTTTCTATATGTAAGTCTGCATTTTTGTATTAATTTATTTTACCAGCATTTTCCTTTTTCTCTCTTTCTTTTCCTTGTCACTCCCACATAATGAAGAAAAAGACAAAAGCAAGAATGACATGTATATCCCAACATGCCAATTATCTGTGGCTCCCAGGGGAGCTAGAGGATGGAGGGAGACACCGGAGAGGAGAAAGGTGAGGGGAAGCAGAAAAGAAAGATCAGGGACCCCGGGAGACTAAGAGTTGGGCACTGGGCTCCTGCAGTCTTAAGGCACCAAAACCAGGCCACAAGGTGGTAAGATGAGGCCAGCTTTGGAACCAGACAGATCTGGGTTCAAATTCTGACTTTTTAGTTATGAGACCCTGGGCAAGGCACAAGCTTTCCAAGTGTCAGTTTTCTCATCTGCAAAGTGGAAGTGTAAAGACAATGTATGGAAAATGCCTGCCAGCTGGTAAGTAGCTGCTGTGGCAGCTTTAGTTTGACTCAGTGGGCTATTAACAGTAGCTCAGGTGGTAGGAGTACGGTTAGAATGAGGCTTAGGGGATGGGGTTACTGTCACTGTGTTCTGGTACACGAGCTGATCCAGTCCACGGACTGTGCCCATAAGCCTTTCTTCAAGGAGAGAGAATACCAGGTACTGGGCTAAAGGCCAGAGATAGGAAGAAGGGGGAAAGCTTGATCTCCTGTCTTCAAGAATTTCAGAGCTTAGCACAAAGCCAGGCTCCCCGCTAGAAAAACAGCTTAGAGTGTACGCTGGTGGTGGGCTGCTAGCGTGATCTCTGTTAAGGAAGCATGAGCACCGGCACTGTGGCTGGAGGATAATGATGCTGGAACTCTAGCTTTTCCCTCTTCCCAGATCCGTCTTCCCTCACTGCATCACTCCAGTTTCTTTACCTGAAATATTTCCCTTACTTCCTCCCAGTCACGTGTTCTGGGGCAAATGGGTGGATTGAGTAGGGGTGCGGGGCAACCTGCTTACTACACAGTTGCCGATAGACGTTTTTCAGGATGTGTATTTTTCTTTCTCCTTTCCTCTCTTCCAACATCTTTGCTATATTCTTTTCTTACACAAATGAACTGGAAAAGGGAGAATCTTTTGGGAGGCCCCAGGCAAGGGAGATGAGGAAATCCAGTACACACAGAGTTGAAATGGGGCGAGGGGTAGAGACAGGTAAAGAACTAAGTGCCATTTCCTATTTCAATGACATTTTCCTCAACTTTTCCTGTTCTTCCCCCATTAACTTGTAGAGGTTTGGGGAACAGAGTGCAGTACAGTCCTGACTGGCCTCCATTAGGAAGAATATCTGAGGTGCTGACCTGGAAAGCTGATGAATTAATTTGCATGCTATTTCCACAGCATAACTGTAGGTTGTTTAGGGTGAAAAGAAAAGGGAAAAAAAAACGAGTTTTTCTAACTCCTGCTCCAGCCTTCACAAACCATGCCGTGCCGACCCTAGGGAAATAGCTTTGCCTCCTTCCTTGCCCTCTCCCAGACCCGCTGCCAACAGTAAGCTCTACCTCATTGCACACAAAAAGCAGCCCCGAAGAATCTCTCCCCTTTCTAAACCTTACAGGCAAGGGGACCCAGCCCCATTCTGCAACCCTCAAAGCTCAGCTACAGCCCCTCCCCTTGACACTCCCTCCCCTTGCTGGGTTCGTTCTTTTTTCTGCTTTCTTCCTACCTCCGAGTCTCCCAACAACAGCAGCCAATCCCCAGGCTGCTCTAGAGCCACACCATATATGGAGAGGTTGAAAAGAAACCCGAGTAAATGTGGGAGCGAACACACCACACACACACACACACACACGCGCTAACAGTTTTTGAGCGCCTCTCTGCACGTGACCCTGTGTCTATTTGTCTGTGTGTTTGACACAGGTCCCACCATTCCCTGCCCCTGGCTCACCCCACCCAAGAACGAGGAACCTGTTTGCTGTTCCCGGCCTTTATTCATGCCCCCTGAGACCATCAATCCAACCAGTTGCCTCTGACCTAGCTTCTCTGCACTAATTACAATCCTAACGAGATCTAACAAACATACAACTTAGCACAGCTGAGACCCTCGAGGTCAATTAGTACAGCCCAGCTCAGCTCAGGAAATGGGAGATGGAGCCAGAAACTCTTGTACTTGCCTCACCCCGGCTCCGGCCCCAACCCCAGCCTGGGCTTGAAAGCAGGCTTGAGGAGAATGCAAAAATTAGCAAAACCAGCTTAAAAATAAGATCTTGGAGAGTTAACGAGTATGGAGAGAACTGCGTTAAGGTTGGGGAGAATTGGAGAATACACATTCCCTGCTTTTCCTAAGTTATCAGGAGGGAGAGGCTGATGCAGCTACAGAAAGGAAGGACATAGGCAGTTTTCATTTTCGTAAAGACAATACGGAGAAGAGTAACTTAGAGAAGAGCAGGTAACATAGAACTCTTGATCTGCATCACAGCCTCCGACTTATTCCCTCCTCCTCTTTGCTTTCTCCTTTGGACAAGTTGGATTTATCTCCCCTGTCTTTCCTGCTGGTTTGGAATAGCTCTGAAATCACCTCTTTCTTTCAAAAATACTAGACTCAACCTCATTCTTGCTTTTCCTCTTCCATATAGTAAAACCATGACAGCAAACAGCCCCTTCCTCCTAAGAAACACAGAAAAATCTAAAATAAGGGTAACCAGTTTTGGGTTGACAAAGTGTTGTCGGACATTTGGGGATGATGCCTAAACTGTCTTCTAGATGAAGAATGAGAGGAAATGGCCACAAGTGGTAACAATGGGAATGCAGTTGCTTTTGCAAATTTGTCCTACCTGGCAGCAAATGCAGCGCAACATAAAGAAGATTGACCAGGGCAATGTGGCTCGTTCCCCGTTTTACGGGTTTCCTTTCTTTAGGTGGCAAAACAAGGCAGTGGAATGGTTGCCTGTCCTGTATCCTCTGCGTGCAGACCAGTTGTCCTAACCTCATCCCTAACACCTGTGGCTCTATCAAGGAGGGAGGTGGAAGGAGAGGGCTAGTGGAATCCTCTACACCCCAGTGGGGGAGTGGACTTGGAGCCGCCACAAGAGCAGAATGTCCTTCATCCCCCAGCCTTTATCCAGCCTCGTTCAGAGCGCTGCACCCTGCTGGCACCCTGACTCCTCCACAGTCCACTGCCGCAGCAACCAGGAACCTGCAGGGCAGGATGATTCACATAGCATCATGTCTGTATGTTGATGATTCCCAATTTCCTTCCCTGGCCTAACCCCCGGCTCTGGGATCAAGGCGCTTACAGCTAAGTACCTATTTGGCATCTTTACTTGGGTGTCTAACGGGCATCTTTTTTTTTTTTCTTGTGATGAGAACTCTTAGGATCTATTAACTTCTTTTAATACAATTTTAAAGGTTATACTCCATTCACAGTTATAACAAAATATTGGCTATATTTCCCATGTTGTACAATACATCCTTGAGCTATCTTACACCCAATAGTTTGTACCTCCCACTCCCCCACTCCTATATCCCCCCCTCCACTGGTAACCACTACTTTGTTCTCTATATCTGTGAGTCTGCTGCTTTTTTTGTTATATTCTCTAGTTTGTTATATTTTTTCAGATTCCACATATAAGTGATATCATAC